GTGTGTGTGTGTATGTATGTATGTATATTATATCAACATGATATATATATATATATATATATATATATATATATATATATATATGTATGTGTGTATGTGTGTGTGTGTGTGTGTGTGGTGTGTGTGTGTGTGTGTGTGTGTGTGTGGTGTGTGTGTGGTGTGTGTATGTATGTATGGATGGATGGATGGATGGATGGATATGGATTATATATATATATATAATATATATATATATATATATATATATATATATATATATATATATATATATATATATATATATATATATGTATATATATATATATATATATATGCATTTTTACATATATATATATATATATATATATATATATATATAATATATATATATATATATATATATATATATATATATATATATATATATATATATATATAATATATATATATATATATATATATATATATATATATATATATATATAATATATATAATATATATATATATGTATATATATATATATATATATATATATATATATATATATATATTATATATAATATGTATGTGTCACACACACACACACACACACACACACAGGCAACAGGATAAGGTAACGAAATCTGCTGCAGCCTCTCCTCTGACTAATTCACACTGCTCCTTCCACGTGAGACGAGAGTTCCTTTTTAATTTTTAATTTTAATTTTAAACACACGGTTCTTGTCGGTGAAATCCATTTGTCCGCGACATCCATACATCCTCAAAGGTCTCGCCTAGGACCCCCTCGACTTCGGGTCGTCCAGATTTCCTCGTGTCCCTCGTCCAGGTCTAAATTGGCGGCGTATCCGTCAACTTGAGCTCGCAGATCTCGTCCAGGTAATTCTCGGCTGCGTGCTCGTCCAAGCTTCCTTCTACCCTTCGTCTGGATCTAAGGGCGTCGTGGCAGGCGACGCCCTTAGGGCAGCTGATACCAGTGCTAACGAACTCCTGGAGTGTGACTGGATCTACGGGCGTCCAGGTAGGTGGCGCCCTTCCACTGGTTCCTGCACTGACGAGTTCCTGGTTCTTCGCTGGATCTACAAACGTCCTGGTAGGCAGCGCCCCTCTACTACACCCTGGGGCGGCCTAATGCATTTGCTGATAAACTCCTGGTCCGCAGGCCTACGGCGATCCTCCGATGATGTCCTTCCTTCGGCACCTTTCGTATCTATAGAAGGGTCCTCCTTCGGTGCCGTGTCAGATATCCTTGGCTAACTGATGCAGAACCAGATCATATATGTAATGACCAAGATAGTAAGAGAAAAAGAAAGCATCAGAGAGGGGGAATGTTAGGTTTTATTTAGCAGTTTTTTTTTTATATAGAAATCTGCACTTTTAGTGTTCGTTTTGAATTCATTTTCGTCCTTTCTTCTTTTTCTTCAAAAAATGAAAATGAAAATAGGAATGAGATGAAAGCAGCAATTCACAAAGACCTGCTTAAACTGTGAAGCCGCAGATAAGGGAAACGACAATTCACTCATCACGGCTGGCAAACTGGCCCAGAAGGATATTTTGATGAGGTGACGGTGACAGTCGCTCTCTGAGTCAGACTAGTGCCGTCTTTTTCAGTGGTTATGGCAACTGGGACACCTCTCGTGAGACAGGAATTGAGCAGGTGGTAACTGTGGGTAGTGGTGTCCACAGAATGTCTATAAGATGTGGATAGATAAACATACGTAAATCCGTTGGTGATATATTGACAGGAGAGATCACAATACACAAAGATCTGCACTGACATCTGTAGTGATAGTTCCTCTGTCTTCTGTCTAAAACCTAGGGAATCTAAAAGGGAGGCAGCATTATCCTCATTGAGGTCTGTGGTAACAATTAACGAAATATGATTTTTTTTTTTTTTTTTTTTTGCAAGCCTAAGCAAAAGTGTCGATTTTTTGTTGCACTTCTGATATTGATACTGACAATGAATAAAGAATAAAAAACAATCTGTCAATGGAAACATTGACTAGCTATGACACCACCCAGGTGACGTCACTTACCACATGCAAACACATAACATAGCTAAAACAATGGCAGTGTTGCCATACATATATTACTGTTTACTACATAGCATGTCTATTGGTACATTACATATACGACATACAAACATTTTGACAGTCGCTACTTGTGAGGCAGGACAGCGGTTTACATAAATATGACATTCTTTATAATATTAGTATGACGGTGTCTTGTGATTCACTTTTTTCCACATATATTGATTTAGATGAAATACCTTACCTCTGAATTCTATTCATTAAGCTCAGTGATTCCATAAATTGCAAGCACAACAATTCACTGAATTTTCATATTCAATTCACGTGGTTTATGTGTGCTGTAGGCCTAAAGTTTGTTACATTATCTGAATGAAATCTGACTACACTGATATAAGGATCATATATATATATATATATATATATATATAATATATATATATATATATATATATAACTAAAGTATTTTTGGTATTATGTGTGAGTGCCACGTGTAAACAGTGTTTGCTGGAGCTCTGTCAAAGTGGGGCGTGGCTGAGGTAGGCAATCGAGCCGAGATGCCAACTAGTTAATTTCCCTCTACTCCAATGCAGACACCTAACTTATAGCTAAAACAAGAACAGTGTTGCCATAGCTTGTCCATTAGCACATTACACATACGACATACACACAGCATTGCTTTGTGCATTCCTCCTTAATTATTTTCATGCATTTTCGCACTAATATTGAGCATCTAGACAGAGGCGGGTCCAGATTTTTTTCTGGTGGGGAGCACAAGGGGGTAACAACAACAGGCCGCCCAAAAAGTAACAAAAATTGAGGCTGCCTACTCCAGTATTTGTATTGTACAGTTGCACATTGTTTAGGTTTTCATCTTGCTGTGTGTGTATTATATATTGATATATATTATATAAATATTATATATCTATATATAATAATTATATATTAATATATATATATATATATATATATATATATATATATATATTATATATTGATATATAAATATTGTATATAAATATATATATATCATATATTAATATATAAATGTCGTATATTAATATATAAATATTACATATTAATATATAAATATTATATATTAATACATAAAGGATCAGTGACCAGTGGAGGGGACCCACGGGGTGGTCAATCATATTGCAGGGCCCCCCCCCCCACCCATCAATCAGATTGCAGGCCCCCCCCCCCCCACCCCGTGCCTCTGTATCTAGAACACAGCATACGACATCAAAAGCCATCTAGGATATTATATTCTAAAATACTGTGTACCAGTTGAAAAAATAACCAGTACAGTGAAACAGCTAGCTGTCAACCGCAGCCATTCCCATTACGTCACAGAAGGGATGGCATTTGATTTTGATCAGTATTTATTTTTTATTTATTTATTTTTTTGACCTCGATCGTTACCTGGGTCTTCAGTTTCGAACACAAGCACAGCTTGGCTTGCTTTGATTTTAACTACCTATATCTAACTCTATCTATCTATATATGTTTTGTGTGTATATGCATATTTATGTATTATATATACCATGTATACATACACACACACACACACACACACACACACACACACACACGCACGCACACACACACACACACACACACACACACACACACACACACACACACACACACACACACACATATATATATATATATATATATATATATATATATATATATATATATATAGTTATGTATTCCGTAATGGGTTTGCCAGTAAGGCGGCGAATCGTTAGTATGAAGAGGTAGATAAATACGGCCGTGAAGAATCTCATCTTTATTGATTTAGCAGACGTTTCGAAGGATTACATGCCTTCATTATCAATGCTGTAATTAACCAGATAGAAGGGTCATTAGACTATGTAAAAATATGAAGGCGTTCTGGTTTTACAAAAACGTAACAGAATAAACAATATTAACGGAAAAAATATATACAAAAAATATATGAACACAATAGAAAAATATATAAAACATATTAAGAGACGTAAAAATCAATGTTAAACTAACCAAAAAAAGGAGGTGTTTATGGAGATGAGCAGTCTAGTGGGTAAACAAGGGGGTCGCTGTGGTTAAGTTGTTTAGCTCTGGTTGCATCTTTTGTATCAGGAGGGATTCTGAGGTGATGAGGTCTAGGCGGGAGGAATGAGATGACAAAATACTAAAATCTGTGGTAGAAAAAGGGTGTGAGTGTAACTGGGAATGCTCTCTTATTGCCGAGAAGGATGGTTTGCTCAGCGGAGGCCAGTCCTGAAAGACTTGCCTTTATGTTCGGAGATGCGGTGACATAGCCATCGTGAGGTGGATCCCACGTACCTAGCTTGACAGCTAGGACAGGTAAATAAGTATACCACATTAGAACATAAGTCAGAGCTGTGATTTAAAGGATGTTTTAAGAACTTAGCTATTGTGTTTTATTACTAAAGACAAAGGTAAATTTAATCTGGGGGTAATTAATTTGCAAGAGCGTTTTTAACCGTTTTCTGATTTCAAAGCTTAGATCACCCATGTAGGGTAGTTTAACATATCTATGGTCTTTTAACCGTGGAGACAATTTGTTGATTGGTGAATTTCTTACACAGAAAGGTTTTAGTAATTTTATCACACAACTGTAATGGGTACCCATTAGTAATAAAAAAGTTTTTCAGAAATAACAGTTCATTATGGAAGGCATTCCAGGTGCTACATAGATTGTAGGCTCTAGTTATAAGAGTTTTCACACTATTGATTTTGTAAATATACGGGATGTAACTGAGAAAATGTAGGCCGAGGCCAGTGAAAGTGGGTTTACGGTAAATGCTAGTTTGGAAGATACCATTGTTGTTAGTGATCATAGTATCTAAAAATGGCAATTGGTTGTCCATTTGCAATTCACAGGTGAATTTGATGCTGGGGTGTTTGGCATTTAGGTAATCTAGAAAAAGATTAATGTGTGAAGGGTGCTTAAAGAGCAGGAAAGTGTCGTCGATGTACCGACGATAATGTAGGGGTTTGAATTCAGGCGGGCAGTTATCTAGCCAGCTTTTCTCATGGTGACATAGAAATGCATTAGCATAGGAGGGGCCAAGTGGAGAGCCCATAGCTACGCCATCTGTTTGTGCATATAGGCAGTCGTTAAACGTAAAAACTGAATGATGGGCAGTGATTTCCAATAACTTTTTGAAGGTAATCGTATCCAAACCATGTTTGTCAAGATAAGTATTGTCCAGGTTGTTAGCTATCAACTCCGTGGTCTCTTGTAGAGGCACGTTTGTGAATAACGACTCGACATCAAAACTCGCCATAGTGACGGGTTGTTGGAAGTTCAGAGACGTGATTTCTTTAACAAAGGATGTGGAATTATCAATAGTATATTGATTGGATGTTAAAGGGGAGATGATGGGAACAAGAAATTTTGCGGTGTTGTAATTGAAAGTACCAATCGAGGAAATTATAGGCCTTAAAGGGATATTAGGTTTATGAACTTTGGGTAGTCCATAAAGAACACCAGGTCTGGATCCAGAAGTCATAAGAGAGTTGTAGGTGTTTATGTTAATGGATGCTTTGATAGTACGAAGAAGTCTATTTAGTTTGTCTTCTAAATATAACAAATGGGTGGAAATTTTTGTCGTGATTTGTTTGAATTTTGTTTTGTCACTGAGAATATCCATTAACTTTTGTTCATAATCACATTTGTTTAAAATAACAACTCCTCGTCCCTTGTCTGGTTTAGTAATTACAATGGTATTGTCATTCTTAAGGGTTTGGAGTGGTGACAGGAGAACATCGGAGTCAAAACCTAGTCTCCTCTGTTGAGATAATTTTCTAAAGGAGTTGTTGGCTATAGTTGTGATGTTGTTAGTAACATTGTTGAAGTTGTTGTTGTAGATGTCACAATTCTTTAAGGAAGCACAAAGCTTTTCAAAGTACAGGTAAAATCTGTGAAATACAAACTTAGTTTGGGGTATACAATAGTCCAGACCATAAGATAGTACATCCTTTTGTTCGTCAGTTAAAATTTTGTCAGAGAAATTAAATATTACTTTATTTTTGTCTACTTTCTTGTTTATATCAATACCTAATTTTAATAGTTTCTTGCTATGAACTGTATCCACTTTACGTATTTTCTTTTCCACGTTTCCATTAATTAACCTTGACACACAAATAAAATCGAGGAGATAGTGTGGATTTTAGTAAAGTTAAATTCTTGTTAAGATCCTTAATGACAGATGTCTCTTTTTTCAACTGACTAGTAATTTCACGGTTAAGAAGTTGAAAACACCAAGAACGATATATTTCAGTACGTTCAAACATTGGGTTGTGAACTCGGAAGTTAACAAAGTTTGGGGTAACATGATAGTTTTTACAAAGTCTTAGAAACCGGATGTCCTTCTGCAGCTTCTTTGAACGGAAGGAGAGTTTCTCGGTCCTTCTGAAGATGTTGAGTGTCGTCCTGCCATATTTGTTCCTTATATATTCCGTAATGGGTTTGCCAGTAAGGCGGCGAATCGTTAGTATGAAGAGGTAGATAAATACGGCCGTGAAGAATCTCATCTTTATTGATTTAGCAGACGTTTCGAAGGATTACATGCCTTCATTATCAATGCTGTAATTAACCAGATAGAAGGGTCATTTGACTATGTAAAAATATGAAGGCGTTCTGGTTTTACAAAAACGTAACAGAATAAACAATATTAACGGAAAAATATATACAAAAAATATATGAACACAATAGAAAAATATATAAAACATATTAAGAGACGTAAAATCAATGTTAAACTAACCAAAAAAAGGAGGTGTTTATGGAGATGAGCAGTCTAGTGGGTAAACAAGGGGGTCGCTGTGGTTAAGTTGTTTAGCTCTGGTTGCATCTTTTGTATCAGGAGGGATTCTGAGGTGATGAGGTCTAGGCGGGAGGAATGAGATGACAAAATACTAAAATCTGTGGTAGAAAAAGGGTGTGAGTGTAACTGGGAATGCTCTCTTATTGCCGAGAAGGATGGTTTGCTCAGCGGGAGGCCAGTCCTGAAAGACTTGCCTTTATGTTCGGAGATGCGGTGACATAGCCATCGTGAGGTGGATCCCACGTACCTAGCTTGACAGCTAGGACAGGTAAATAAGTATACCACATTAGAACATAAGTCAGAGCTGTGATTTAAAGGATGTTTTAAGAACTTAGCTATTGTGTTGTTATTACTAAAGACAAAGGTAAATTTAATCTGGGGGTAATTAATTTGCAAGAGCGTTTTTAACCGTTTGTTATATTTAGAAGACAAACTAAATAGACTTCTTCGTACTATCAAAGCATCCATTAACATAAACACCTACAACTCTCTTATGACTTCTGGATCCAGACCTGGTGTTCTTTATGGACTACCCAAAGTTCATAAACCTAATATCCCTTTAAGGCCTATAATTTCCTCGATTGGTACTTTCAATTACAACACCGCAAAATTTCTTGTTCCCATCATCTCCCCTTTAACATCCAATCAATATACTATTGATAATTCCACATCCTTTGTTAAAGAAATCACGTCTCTGAACTTCCAACAACCCGTCACTATGGCGAGTTTTGATGTCGAGTCGTTATTCACAAACGTGCCTCTACAAGAGACCACGGAGTTGATAGCTAACAACCTGGACAATACTTATCTTGACAAATATGGTTTGGATACGATTACCTTCAAAAAGTTATTGGAAATCACTGCCCATCATTCAGTTTTTACGTTTAACGACTGCCTATATGCACAAACAGATGGCGTAGCTATGGGCTCTCCACTTGGCCCCTCCTATGCTAATGCATTTCTATGTCACCATGAGAAAAGCTGGCTAGATAACTGCCCGCCTGAATTCAAACCCCTACATTATCGTCGGTACATCGACGACACTTTCCTGCTCTTTAAGCACCCTTCACACATTAATCTTTTTCTAGATTACCTAAATGCCAAACACCCCAGCATCAAATTCACCTGTGAATTGCAAATGGACAACCAATTGCCATTTTTAGATACTATGATCACTAACAACAATGGTATCTTCCAAACTAGCATTTACCGTAAACCCACTTTCACTGGCCTCGGCTACACTTTCTCAGTTACATCCCGTATATTTACAAAATCAATAGTGTGAAAACTCTTATAACTAGAGCCTACAATCTATGTAGCACCTGGAATGCCTTCCATAATGAACTGTTATTTCTGAAAAACTTTTTATTACTAATGGGTACCCATTACAGTTTGTGTGATAAAATTACTAAAACCTTTCTGTGTAAGAAATTCACCAATCAACAAATTGTCTCCACGGTTAAAAGAGACCATAGATATGTTAAACTACCCTACATGGGTGATCTAAGCTTTGAAATCAGAAAACGGTTAAAAACGCTCTTGCAAATTAATTACCCCAGATTAAATTTACCTTTGTCTTTAGTATAACAACACAATAGCTAAGTTCTTAAAACATCCTTTAAATCACAGCTCTGACTTATGTTCTAATGTGGTTATACTTATTTACCTGTCCTAGCTGTCAAGCTAGGTACGTGGGATCCACCTCACGATGGCTATGTCACCGCATCTCCGAACATAAAGGCAAGTCTTTCAGGACTGGCCTCCCGCTGAGCAAACCATCCTTCTCGGCAATAAGAGAGCATTCCCAGTTACACTCACACCCTTTTTCTACCACAGATTTTAGTATTTTGTCATCTCATTCCTCCCGCCTAGACCTCATCACCTCAGAATCCCTCCTGATACAAAAGATGCAACCAGAGCTAAACAACTTAACCACAGCGACCCCCTTGTTTACCCACTAGACTGCTCATCTCCATAAACACCTCCTTTTTTTTGGTTAGTTTAACATTGATTTTACGTCTCTTAATATGTTTTATATATATTTCTATTGTGTTCATATATTTTTTGTATATATTTTTCCGTTAATATTGTTTATTCTGTTACGTTTTTGTAAAACCAGAACGCCTTCATATTTTTACATAGTCTAATGACCCTTCTATCTGGTTAATTACAGCATTGATAATGAAGGCATGTAATCCTTCGAAACGTCTGCTAAATCAATAAAGATGAGATTCTTCACGGCCGTATTTATCTACCTCTTCATACTATATAGTTATGGGTTTGTCACTCAGGCGTCAAGTAGTCAGGACGAAGAGGTAGAGTAAGGGTGTCATCTTCTGTGCCAGTTCACCAGGGACGTCCCGGGTTAAATGCCGGACGTTTCGAGTAATGACGTCATCGTTCATAGAGGCCATTATCTGGTCGACAACAAGCTCGGCCCGCTTCCTTCTCCTCATGATGACAGCGTTTCTTCCCAGGGCCCTTTCCTGAGGTTAGGTCAGATGCCAGTTAGATTTAATGCAGGAAGTACATCGCTAAACAGGCGACAGTCACCAGTGCTTATTGTACTCTTACAACTTTCATATCTCTGCATTAATACTTCAGTTCAGTTCAGTTAGATTTGCGGTCATGCTTCGCCCGGGCCTTTTCTCTGGAGTGGCCCGGGCATTGATACTTCAAGAAAAATAGTTTATAAGCTCAAACAAAATCAGCACCAATTCCAGTCGTAAACACTGCGTCCCGAAAAGAATCCGTTGACTTCAGCATCGTGAATATAAAGCTTATTTCATGAAAACATAAAGTTTTATGTTGTATATACTTTAAGTAAGGTAAAACTCGAAGGAATTATATTTTTAGATTATCCGTGAATATTATTTTGACTGCAGGTCTTTAAAGATCGAGTATTTATCATATGATTGCATTCGGACATGGCTCGAAAACACTGATACGGGAAAGGCTGGATGAGTAGTAACTCGAGGAGGTCATGACGCCAGATTTTGGTTTTGCGATTCTGTTTTTGGAAAAAAACACATAGGGTTTATTCAAGCCAAAGGCCCGTATTTATTTTACTCAGCTTATTATATATATTGTATAATATCCAACAGTGTTAGAGTCGATGGCTTTTCAGGCGTTTTTGACTACATAGTCTTGCTAGC